AATAATAATAATAATACAATAATAATATAATAATACTTTATTTTGCATGAATATCATTTACAACAAATGTAATTTACAAATAAAAAATAACAATAAAAAAAACATGCAAAAAAGGAACTGAAGACAATTAAAATTGGTTTAAATTCAGTTCCTGTCAGATCACAATATCAGCTAGTATAAATGTGTGTTATGTAGCTAAATTATTTTACTGTAACTTATCTACAAATATAAGTAAATTATATAGTAATCCTATGACTAAGAAAATTTAGTACGAAATTCAAAGAAATAAACACAAAGAAAAGTATTTTATACTAAAATAATTCTGAGGTAAAAGAAAAACTATGAGGGAAGAGAACTATCCAGAAAATGTTTTTTAAGTTTATTTTTAAATGCAGCACTCTGAAGGTTCATCATTTCTGCTGGTAAACAGTTGTAAAGCTTGGAAATATTAAATGAGAAACATCTAGTGAACAATGCTGTTTTGTGAGGTGGTGGAGTAATAAGTCCCTTAAATCTAAGGTTTAAGTTGTGCACATCTGTTCTGAATTTTATTTTATTCACAAGTATGGAGGACACTTCTTAGAAATAACTCCATGAAATAAAACCAATGAATGCATCTTACGTCTGTTTTCCATATTCAACCACTTAGCTTCTTTTAACTTATGCGAAATGGGATCATATTTTCTTATACCATAAATAAAACGTAGGCAGCTTTTTTGAAGCTTCTCTATTCTGTTAATGTCAATTTTTTCCAGACATGGTCCATATATAACGTCACAGTAGTTGAAATGGGATAAGACAAGTACTTCAGCTAACTTTATCTTTAAAGTTTCCGAAAGTAATTTTCGATGCGGATATAACATTTTTAAAGAGATGTAAGACCTTCTGATACATTGAGAGACATGTTCCTTAAAGCGAAGATTATAATCTATAATTAATCCCAAATTCTTGGCAGATTTAGTAAATTGTAATTTTTGTTCAGCTAAACTTACTGACATTACGTTAGATAGAAAATCCCGGTGTTTACCAGATATCATAACAGATGATTTATCTGGATTTATTGCCAGGCCGTGATGATTTGAGACTTGTACTAATTTATATAAATCGTCATTTATTAACGTTTGAGCTAATGTCCAGTCATCGAAATTAAACGAAAATAAAAGTTGTGTATCTTCTGCGTAGCAGTGTGCATTAACATTATCTAGGTATGTAGAAATATTACTTGTATATATTGTAAAAAGTAAGGGTCCCAAGATAGATCCCTGTGGAACTCCACAACTAATAACTTCCCTCGGTGATTCCCCTGTAGTAGTTTTTACAAATTGCATTCTATTATTTAAATAATTTTCAATTAGACCAACTGCATTTTCTGAGAAGCCTACATAATGTAATATAGATAGAAGTAGTTTATGACTTATTCTGTCAAAGGCTTATAATCAAGGAATAATAACAAACAAAGGAATAATCTAATAGCACCAGTACAGAGTTTTTGCCCAAGTCACAGGATTTAATGATGTCATCAACTATGTTTAAAAGTGCCGTTGTGCAACTATAGCCTTTTCGAAAACCAGATTGATTTATTGGTAAAATGTCGTTGCATTGCAAAAAATCACGTATTTGATTCTCCATAATTCTCTCCAACAATTTAGACAAACAAGGCAAGATACTAATTGGCCGAAGCTCATTTACAGAAGTTATATGATCATTTTTAGGCAAAGGTGTTATTCGCGCAAGTTTCCACGAATCAGGAAAAATATTTTCTAGAATACATGAGTTAACTATATTGGTAATAAATGGTATAATTCTTGGACAGCACATTAGTAACATATCAATATTAATTTGATCTGATCCTACAGCAGTGGATGTTATATTGCTAAGTAGTAAGTCAACATCGGTAACTGCAACAGTATGAAAATAAAATTTCTTATGTATGTTTGGTTTTAAATTATTTGTATAATATTCCAATAAGTTTTTATCCACTGATGGGTTATTGTTTGAGAACTGTAGAAAAAAATTATTTATATTCGTTGGGTTATTTATAGAATCAGGAATATATCGAGTATTAACATTATTGGTTATATTTAAATTTTTAGTTTTTCCATAAAACCTTATTGTTATGTTTATTAGTGCAAAATTCTAGATATCTTTGTTTTTCATTTTGTATTGCAATACTTGTCTGATTCCGCATTTGTTTATAATAATCCCAATGTTCCGGTTTTCCGGTGTTTTTGTATTTTTTAAAAGCCTTATCTCGCATTTTAATCATAAGTTTTATAATGTCAGTTAACCATGGTGGTTTATATTTCTTATTTTTAACTGTTTTTAAAGGTGCTAATATATCAAATACCATTAGTATCAAATTATTAAAATAAGATAACTTATCTTCAATATTTTTAATATATATTATATCCTCAAATGGCGCGCTTTCTAAAAAAGATGCTAATAGTTCTTTATTTATATATTTGAAGTTTCTTACTTGGGATTTGGTTTCAGTTTTATAATCATAAATTTTTCTGGAAAAAAATATGATAAAACAATCTAACCTAACCTAACCTTTGACAAAAAAATCCAGATGTATTATTTTCAGTCTAATAACTATCTAGTGAACATGTTTAATTCTTCTTGTCAATAATGGCATGTATTGATTATTTCGTTTCCAAATATTCTGGGAACCATTACTCGTAGAGCTTTTTACCAAGAGAAGTTTTTCAAAATGTATATATTTTTTTCATTCAGTAATTTAATACAGGTACGGACGAAAATTTATTATTCTTTAAAACAGTTCAAAAACACGTAAGTGGCGTGTCCTACAAGAAGGTTAGGAAATACAATTTGGGTTGCGCCCAGCAGAGCTCACTCAGGTTCATTTTGTTTTGACAATGCCAGTTTAGAATTCCAAAATAGCTCGAAGACTGCTTCTAGATATCGTCGAAAATATCATTGGCTTTTGTATGTACTGTATATTTATTATTTAAGTCGACCCTAATAAAAAGGGATTACATAGACATTCTAAAACACAAATAATACATTGACTTGTCTTATTATTTTCATAATTGATGGCGATTGATCATAGAATTCATTTAATAAGAAAATTATACATTTTCATTCTATGGAGAGGTATCCCTTTGAAATATAAATAATCCATAAAATATATAGTTTTACCATCGTTACAGAGTTTGGGAAACGACTTAAAAGGGTTTATTTATCCATTTTATCAATTTAATTCTGCAGACTTGGAGGTATTGATATTACAGGCATATTTTTCAATTGTGTATTGGTACCAAATTCTTTTGAAAAATAATACTAATGAGATGTTTCAACATATTCTTTTTTAATAATTTCTCGAATTATGCGATATTGTAATTAAAATCGTTTTGACGGGCTTACCACAATATTCTAAGTTTATATTTATTATTACCACAATATTCTAAGTTCTAAGTTTATCTATGGTCAAACGTTAACAGATATGTTAAAAAACAACGTACTTTGGATGTCTAATATCTTTCTCCGTCGTCAGAAGTATGTAGTAATAATAATTGTCAATTTGAAGTATGATTTTATGTAATGTCAGTTTATCAGAACATTAATCTTGGTTTTACCAGTTAGTTTACCTTTATTTTTTGTTTTCTTTTGCTTCTGGCTTACAGTTCAGGGTTGGAACCTTTGGTGTTACACAGCAAAATAAAACACTAAATCACCACAATACACCAAAGCAGTTTTACTTTTACACTGGACTCGCGTTTCGCTAACCATGTTAGCATCATCAGCAGATGATTATAAACTAAAATACAATCTACAATTGGAGCGTTTATATACTCGCTCAGTGGGCACAGAGTGGGCGTGGCAAAATCTAGCCAACCGAGTCAGAACCCACCGAGCGTAACAGTTACATTTCCGCCACTAGAGTAATAGAAACAAAGAACTTGAAGGAATTGGACCGTTGTCTCTGTTCATACTATCTTTACATTTATTAATTCTGATGCTTTCATATGCATCTAATTGCCTATAATTTGAGACTTGTTTAAGTAATTTTAAGTTATTAAGATCTATACAATGTTCTTTATCAACAATATGTTCGGCAACGCAAGATTTATCAGGTCTACCATATCTTATCTGAGCTAAATGTTCTTTAAATCTAGTTAATATTGATCTTCTAGTTTGCCCTATACTAGGAAGAAAAAAGTACCAAAATCTGGTTCTTTACTCTAAAATAAAGAATTCAATTAATATAGTACCAAGAATAAATGAGCATTTTTATTTGATTTATTCGAAATAATATAATTAATTGTTGTGCTCAAGCTAAATAAAGTAACTGACTAAAATGGGTATCTTCATTATCAAAGCATCTCGAAGAACATCCGTACGACGCTGACGCTTGGAATTATAATAGAATATACTAAATTGTTTAGGTTTCTAGATAGAATATTAATTACCCGCGTTAGGTTATGTAAGCGTCTAATATAATAGGTTGAATATGAATAATTATTGTACAAATTATATTAATTAATAGTATTTAAGGACAACAAGAGGTTTTGGTTTTAAAGAAGAATCAAATAACAAACAAAAATTGAAAGCTATTAGTAAATTTATATTAAATATAATATAAATGTTATTATTCACACACAATAAACTCACTATCTCTCAAGAATTTTCCAAAAAGAATTTAAGTTTCTTTTTATTTTAATTCAATACAAAATCTTTAAAAAATATGACCAGAAAAATAAATTGAAGAGATCATCAAAAACATATACCCTCAACTTGTAAAATTCTAGCGTGTTTCCCACTAGCTGTGGTAGAGTTCAGTTTTTGGATTGCTGCAATATATTCGCTCTGTCTTCTCTTTCGATTTTGGATCCATCCGTATACCAACACATATCCAGTCATTACCTATCTACTTATATGTATAGGTAGATATAGGTAATAATTTTATGACGTTACCAGTTTATGTCACTGAAGATAACAAAGCTTTATTACTAACTAATATCGTGAATTGTTGCGGTGACAGAAAGAAACTCATATCATTGTCATTACATCAAAATTATACATAAACGAAATGTCAGGCATATTTGGAAAAATATTTACGCGACATTATTTCACTACTCCATCAATTAGAGCACGCGAATGTCCATCCAGACCATCTGATTTTGGTCACCATCCACCAGGAAGTTATAAATTTTTCAAAAAAATATCGCTGCTTGGAGGTGAGTTTCGTTAGTCCAGATTATTTGTATATTTATTAATTTATCAGCAGTATATCACGTAAATAATAAGCATAGATATGCTGCCACAAACCAAGGGATCGTAAAACAAAATAGATACTTTGCCATGATTTTACTTATACGTATCTTGAGACTTAAGTATTTTCTAAAAAGACTTATCTTACTAGAAAATCTATCTGAAGAAAATCTTTTTCTATCGTAACGAAGTTATTATTCGGCTTCTGCGAAACGCGTTTTTTCGCAACTTTATACGGTCTTAGCTGGATCAGAATGCATAAGACCTAAAATATTACTAATATGCAGAATATGCACGACAGGAATTAATGAACTCTAATAAAATATAAATAAACATTTCTTATCTTACTTTATTTTTTGTTAAAGTTGCACAAACTTAAACACGTGAACGATACCCCATACATACCCAGTACTGAATACTAGAAATATAAAGTTGCTCTATTTATCGACATGCAATACGACATATATGATTAGGTATACTTATTTATGTATACTAGAGCATCCAAGTTTACTTGGATCAAAGACTGGTACAACCGATACAATAATTTTCAGTCAATGAAACTTGAGTATTAAGGTGATAAAATGGTATTTAGTTCCATTTTTTATTGTTTTCTAGCTATTCCAGTTATAATTCTTCTGACTGCATATAACGTTGCGAAAAAAAGAATGTGTGAAGAAGGAAGGCCTCCATTTGTTAAATACGAATACATGTTTAGAAGAACTAAAGCGTTTCCGTGGGGCGATGGAAATCATGGCCTGTTCCATAATCCGAAAGTGAATGCTTTACCAGAAGGCTATGAAGACGAAATAGAAGAAATGGAAGGAGAAGATTGCTAATCAATAATTTAGCTAGAAATGTTAGGTGCTATAGTTAGAAAACAAACCAAATAAATTACTGTACTACTACTATGTCTAAACGTCAACGTTTCGGTCAGAAGTACCACTGACCGTTATCAAGTGTGAACTAAACTAAATCCTAAAACTACTGAGCTTATATACTAGAGCCGAGCATTCACCCGTGAATTTGTTCGGTGCAGTCAAGCTTGAGGTTTTGGTGAACACCTGCATTGGAGCGTTTTATGAGTGGTTGCCATATTGTTGAAATTTCCATACTTGAATTGCTAAAGCTTTTATTATAGTTAGAAATAAATACGGCCCCTTTAAATTTACGCTTTTTCCAATGGGGTTCTTTGTGGACAACCCGGGCTTTCGACCATTTGATGTGGTGGTGCTTGGACCACACATAATCTGCAAAGCCCGACTTCATTGTTTCACCTCTTTGCGTATGTTAGTTTTAGGATTTAGTTTAGTTCCCACTTGGTCAGTGATACTTCTGGCCGAAACGTTGTGGAGCAATTAAATTGTACTCTACTGCATATACTGCCATTACTACCATGGGTTTTATAAAGATCTACTTGAAAATATACACACATCAATGAATAACTTTAGTTTTTTTAATTAATTAATATATATCACAACCTAATATAAAATGTATTGAATTATGGCAAGTACGAAACGAAGAAAATAAGGTATTAACTTCAAACTTACGTGTTATCAAACTTAAATGGCTTTACAGAGCAAATTTTACCTGCTGTGAAGAATCCATCTAAATTACAAGCCAACTACCTATTAAACCCCCTAAAAGGAAAGATTTGAGCCGAACAAGTCTTCAGTGTGTGCGGGTAATGGTAAATTCGACCAAGAGTTTTATAACGTTTTGAGAAATGATGAGAGAATTCAATGTACAATAAAAATAATTTGTTTGTTACAATAAATTTTATCAATGTTTGTTTAATACTCGTTGCATTTAGATGTCGACTGATCAAAATATACTGCAGCATTTGATGTTTGCGAATATGGAAATACACTGCTTGTTTAATATTAAATTCACTATTGGAATTAAAATTTTTACAGTTTGTTGTCAAAATTCTTAAATTTTATTAGAATTTGAATGAATAAGAATTAAATATTAATAATATAAAAAACAAATTACTGTCACATTTTGGCGTTACTGGAGTAGTGATGAGCAAATGGCGAGACCAAGACCAACGAAGTCTCGGTGTAAGCTGTGTCTTGGTCTTGCAGTGTCCAGTCTTGGTTTTGCTGCAATACTCTTGTAAGTCTTTGCATTTTGTAATAGTAATAATAATAAATAATTTTACTAGAGAGTATCACAAAAAACTCTAAATAATATCTTACTTAAAAAAATAAATTTAAGCAATTTAATGCAAATGAAACAAGGAAAGAGTGAATATATATCTGATTATATCTATTACCCCTCTGATTACCTCCGTACCACCCCGCTATTAAATCTACCCCGATTTAGACATTCCTTATCAGATAGATATCTACTAATTAGAATACTACTAAAAATGAATTAAATTAAAATGCATTGTACATCTTTGGTTTCAAAGGTTTTTTAACCTTTCTGTCTTGTCTTTGGTCTGGACTATGTGCATGATATTAGTAGGATATCATATCGTAACCTTTTGATTATTTATATTTTCTTGGTCAACCAACTTTATGCTTTATACAGGGTTGTTCACCACATACGACACGGAGTATTGTAGCAAAACGATTAGGTTTTTACAAACTGTAAGTTTTAGGTTCGTTGAAGCACTATTAGAGCTACAATTTAAAAATATTTTTGCAAGATACAGAGTGTCCCAAATAAACAAAAAATATCAAAGTTGTATTTTTTTTTAAATGGAACACCCTGTATATTATTACATTTTTAGTTTCTACGATTAAAATAAAGGTAAATTTGATACCATTTTTGAAATATTTTCAATTTTGTGGGATTGTAGTAAAAATTTTAAGGCTTCATTTCTCCAAGGATATCAAAGTTTTTAACACTAAATACCTTTAAGTTTTCGTAGAAAATGAATTTTCTTATAATTTAGACCTCATTTATCACCCATGGAATATTGACATTTTAGATTGTATTTAAAACAACAAATGGGTAAAAAATGTACAGGTGCCAAAAACGATAATATTACTAGCCCATTTGTATACAAAAAAACTATTTAAATCTTTATAAAATAGTATACCATTAATTAAATATACTACTATTATTTTCGCCCAAATATTAAATTAAATCAATCAAATTATTAAAATTATTAAAAATATTAAATTAAATCAATATCAAATTAAATCAGTGTGGATTTGAAACAGAAATCAACATAATAATAAGTTACGAAAATGAACGTCTCTGTTGTTATAAACAAGCATTCGTCAAAAAATTAAATAACATTTTTAAGGTGTTACGTATTACCACTTTTTGTCTAATACACATACAAATTTCAGTTTTTCAGTATTTGGAGCAATTATTATTAATCAACGCAAACAGTCAATTAATGTAGTTTGAATACTGGAATCATATTAATTGGTCCTGTTTAACACATATTTAAACGGTTTTTTATGAAATAAACGAACTATATCGACAATAGTAGTATCTGTAGTCTTTAAAAACTTGTTACATCTTTAAAAATAATCTAAAATGTCAATATTCCATTGGTATATTGATAAATGAGGTCTAAACTCCAAGAAAATGCATTTTCTACAAAAATTTGAAGAGATAGGTAAAAAATGGTATAATACAATTTAATAGACAATTAAATTGTGCATCTGATTCTCCTAAAATATATAGGGTGTTCCATTTAAATTAAACAAGTTATTGACGTTTAAAGTTAGTAATTATTTAAAATACATTTTTAGACACTATGTATAAGGTAGTATAATTTTTATTATTGCAAGACAAAATTTAGTAAATAGAAATTCTTCAGTACAATATTTGGTTTTAAAAACTTAAATACCCCTCGAGAAATGAAACATTAAAATTATATTACTGTATTTTGTCCTGAATGTAACCTGAATGTTTCAAAAACGGTAAGATTAAAATGCGGTAGACCTTAATCAAATTTACCTTTATTTTAATCGTAGAAACTAAAAATGTGATAATATACAGGGTGTTCCATTTATAAAAAAATACAACTTTGATATTTTTTGTTTATTTAGGACACTCTGTATCTTGCAAAAATATTTTTAAATTGTAGCTCTAATAGTCTCTCAACGAACCCAAAACTTACAATTTGCAAAAATCTAATCTCGTTTAGCTACGATACTCCGTGTCGTATGTGGTGAACAACCCTGTATATGACACTATTTAGTGGGATATTTTATTCATTCAATATTAGATCGTTTACTTTGATTACGTATTGGAGACTGCTTCTACCTAAAAATGAACACGATAAAATATACACACTAGTATGAATAAGACCTAAAAAATAAACCCAGTAAAAAGACAAGTAACAATTAGCTTAGATCATAACTTACAATCACACAGATATTGTTAATCTGTATAATTAATATGAAAATGTAAACTTTTCTATTACCTATATTGGAACAATTAAAATCAAATTTGATAGGAAATAAACACGGATTGTGCAATGGCCCGATCTTAATTATTTTTTAACACATTGACTTATTAAATATACAGAATTTTAAAATTATTTTCCGTTCTCCTTTTTAATAAAAACGACACGACAAAATTCAAGGCAATTTAATTTACATAAAATTTTATATAGCCAAGTCTGAATGTGGAATTTTTAATGACTTTAGGTCACGATATTTTTTTAAAAATTTAATTAATTAACCGCCAATTTCCGTTAATTTAAAATAAAAGTAATTTACGATCGTCATAAAATAGCGTTTATTGCTATTTTTCATTTCAAATACGAAATAACGAATAGAATATACAATTAGAAACTTAACTATCGTAGTTTCAATAATAGATATCAAATTCAAAATCTCATATTTTCTATTTATAATGAGCAAACATGCATATGTTATATTATTTTTTTTTTCAGAACGATATAAAATTAAAATATAAATAAACAATCTACTTCATTTTCGTTTGTATAGAATATTATTATATTCTGTCAAATGAGAGGAGGTTATATCAGTAATAGTTATTGTGTATCATTTTCATTGAAAGATATATTCGACACCAATTAAACTTTTAGTTACGTAATCGAGGGCGCGATTTTTAAATTTCTCGAGAAGCTAGAACTCGAACCATTATACGTCAATTTTTGTAAGCAAGCAATTAATAGGAGATATTCGAAATTTAATCGTGTGGATTGGTATAACGTCGAATTTTTAGTACCTACTTTTATATTTCAATATAAATATTTATAAGGTTGTAAGGAAACAGAAAGACTATAAACATAAGCTTTTAAATGTCAAAACATATTGACGTATATGGAGAATATATAAACCAATATTAATAAACTAAAAAACATTATTGTAGGTGTACTCATATAATAAAAATCAGCGCTTCGATTTGGCCATATAATTTATTAAATAAAATTTAAGAGAGAGAAATAGTCTTTAGATTTCCCATGACATGTCATTTCAATAAAGTTAAAATTCTTTTGGTGTTTTGGTTTGCCAATTTATTTAACTTGCTCAAATAAAATTGTCACATAATATATTTACACTTGGAAGAATTTATACTAGGATTTTTCTCCATATACCTATTTAAAACTAAACTACACTCGGATGCAAAAAAACGCAACGGAGAAAATTTTGATCAAATTTAAAATGTTATATTTTAGTTATTTTTAGCCCTATTTTCATGATTTTTTAGCAAACCGTATATAATTATATCAACTTTATTTTGTAAACTAAGTTTTTTATAAACTTCAGTATTTGGCATATTACACAGGATTAATCGAGAGGTTGTTTTTTATCCTAACTTTAAAACTGTGCAATAATTTCGTGTGTAAATTTTCCGAAAATATAATTTTACGGTCAGAACCATGACTCCTGAGCATTTTGTTTTTTGATTCATGTCAATACACGCTTTGGTTAATTTTTAAGAGCGAAATGTGAGAACGATCACGATCACTTTGCAATTTTTTCAATTATCATTACTTTTTGATATATTAATAAATAATAATTTTGTTAATATGATGATTTGGTTTGGGTGACCATTGTCATAACGTCACATTACGTCTGCATTGGATACTTTATACTAAATAAAAAAATACCAATAAGACTAACGATACAGTCCTGGTTTTAATAAACATTCATAACATAACAGAACTAACGATTTTGCCCTTAACTGGCGTGGTGGGGTCCAGCGGACCCCAAGCACTATTTAAACCTCTGTAAAATATCTACGTTTAAGAATTAGGCCTCGCCTCGACTCAGGAGAAGGATCGATACGGCCACCGAGTGGGGGTTTAAGATTATTATTTTGTAGACATTGTATTGTCAACTCTGACGCGTAGCGCATCTCTCGCGTAACTCTGACGCGTAACACGTGCCCGACGACACAATATGTAACTGTTAAAGGCGCACCTGATTTTATCAAGTATTGTTCCTACCAGCGGGGGCTAAAGTTTAATTGGGGTCTGTGTGGCACCACCACGCCAAGA